CTACTAGTTCCGAGCAAACACTCATGGCGAACGGACGTACGGGAGTGACGCTCCGCGATTATCGAGGCTTCTGCGCTGAAATTCTGAGTGAATCGGGATAAATTCAGCACCATCGTGTGCGGAACTGAATTCCGAATTGAGTTGTTTGCCTGTTTTGTTTAAACAATGCAGTGAAAGGTGAGTAAAGTGCAGAAACGAGGACGCCGAGGCGACTTGACGCGTCGGTCGACTGCGTATGCGCGGGGCCGCCGGCCGTGAAACTCGGTGCGTCTTCAACTCGCGGTCGTTTAGATAGTTTTAAACTTAAAAATACGCGGCTATGCTTAGATTAAGCGCTAGATTCTAGCATTTATAACGGTGCGAATCAAATTGAAATCGGACCGAAATTAAAAAAGTTACACCGCGAAAACCGAATTCGAGAAGTCAATACTGACGAGCGCGAGCCGTAAACGCGAATATGTCGGCCCCCGGTTGTGCAATCGTGGAATAAATTAGGCCAAGGTGCGCGGCACAAAAACCCGAGCAATTTGGTGTTAAGTTTATTAAAATCGGAGTGAAAACAAAATTTTAGGATCGTTGAAACTTCACTTTCGGCGTCAGTGCGCGCGGACCGACGCCAGGCGTATAATTGGGCGAGAAGTCGTCCGATCAGGGCGGGCGGGTACCACGCGACGCGCCGCGTAAAAACGCGCTGATTGGTGTGTGCTCGTCCTGATCGGGCACATAAAAACAGAGGAAACGCGAAAAACTGGAAACGTTAAACAAAAAATCCAAGATGGCGGCCGCCCGCCATCTTGGCTAGGTGCCGCGTCACGTAGGTCACCTCGTATACGGGTACACGTGGGAACGTAAAAAGGGATATCTCGGCTCCGGATAATCATACCGCAATAAATCGAGCACGAGCGAGTTCGTGGCGAAATACGCTTCACAAAGAAATGTGGCGCGTGCGCGAGGGCCGTCCGGTTCGGGAATTACCGCATAGAATGCGGGCCGACTCGGCGGCGGTCTCGCAACGCTCCGTGATGTCACGGGTACCGATCCGTGCGCTTATACACGGGCGCGCATAAACGCGAATAACTCGACAGCGGAGTATCTTAAACATACGTGCAAGGGCTTGTTTTAATCGAGGAAAGGAGCTCTTTAAGCCCAAAGACAAATTAATCGCAAGGACCCAAGCGACAAGAACCTGAGTGCGCGCGAGTACCACGGGGCATCAGGCGCTGCCGCGGTGGCGTCTGAAGAAAAAGAGCACAAGGACGCGGGGAATGAAAGAAGACCCCAAGGACGAGGACTGAAAACTCCAGAGTTTTCGGGGGACCTCGTCCGCCGAGTTAGACGCCTCAATGTCCTGCACTCGGAAAATCGCGGACAGAAAGACAGTTACGGGGCCGGATACCTTCTTCGAGAAAAAAAGAAGAAGAAAGGAAAAAAAGGGAGATCCAGCGACAAACCCGCATCGAGGCGACGGAGGAGGAGGAGGAACTCGAAACCATCCCTGGCACCGAGACGGACGAGAAATGGACGAAGGACTTCCCAAAAACCGCGAAGAAGAAAACGCTGCGCCAGAGGACGGACACGAAGATCAACACCATGCAGGTAACCGTAGACTCGTCGAAGAGACGGTACTCTCCTGAGGTCAGCACAGAGGAGACAGATGCCGCGACGAAAAAGGCCCCGAAACTGATTCTCGTGGTACAACTTGATCGAAAGGAAGCCGCGCTGCCCGACATTAAAAAGGAACCCGAGGCACAACACAACGGAACCGAGACAACGGAACGAGACGCGAAAAGTCCCGCAACTCAACCCATAAGCGCGGCGCCTTGAAACCGAGAATTGATGCGGGAAGGGACGTGCGCGATTATCGCGGGGAATGAGGCCGGGAAAAGCGCGGATGAAATACTCGCGTATTGCCTCGACGAATCGAGGAAAATTGGAAAAACCTAAACGGCGTACATAATAGCGCGCGTAAATGTAATGACGGGGACGATCCGCAATCTCCTCGTTAGAAATAGTTACCTCGAGGGCCGCCACAGGGGGGGGGCACACATGGGCCGACCGCTCCTGCAGCCGCGTGGGCCGCCCAGCCTGCGCCGCGACCGCGAAGTTTTGCGGGCGTGGTAGGGAAGCCGGCGGCGAGAACCGCGCGTGTCATTGCCGCGGCGGCTGAAGCGCCTAAGCGCCACGAGGTCCGGATTCGACCGCAACGGGCGGCAGAGGACGCTGATTGCGAGAATACCAAAAAATTTCGTTCGTCGATCCGCAGACGACCGGAATAGGCATAAAAGGTATGAGGAAAACTCGCGACGGCGTGATTATTATCGAAACGGTGACCGACGATGGAGTTAAAACCTTCACCAAGAATCGCGTGCTCCGGGAGGCGGGACTCTCCGTTGAGAGGCCAACGCGCGACAGGCCGAGAATCATCGTTTACAATGTTCCGAGGTCTGCCCCGGAAAAGAACCTCGTGGAATCGCTGAGATCCCAGAACCTGGAGAGCATGGGGACCGAGAAAGCCAATAGAAATATCAGATTCGCGTACATCACTGGCAAGCGTGAGGGAGAGACGTACAACGCGGTCTTAAAGGTCGCCCCGGCGATGCGCGCGCGAATTCTTGGGAGAAACAGGCTATATGTAGGCTGGAACTTCTGTAGAGTAACCAATTTTGGTCAGATTTCGAGGTGCTATAAATGTCACGCATACGGCCACGTGGCCAAATACAGTAAAGTGGAGGCCGAAATTTGTGGCCATTGTGCAAATGCCAGACACTCCCATAAGGAGTGCCCGAATAAAAGTAAAACCGCGGCCTGCGTAAATTGCAAAAAGGCAGGAAAATCGTCCGCGCATGCATCCAACGACCGGAAATGTCCAGCCCACGTAGCGGCGTTAGAACGGCGGGCATTCCAGATCAATTTTAATAGCTAAAAGAAGCAGAGCGAAACGAGCGGCAGCGAAAAACTCCGAGTGCTGCAAATCAACATGCAGCGCTCGCGATTCGCGAAAAGCAAAGTGGCACGGAGGCTGCTCGCAGACAGCGCCGACGTCGTGCTTGTACAGGAACCATATAATACACTAGGGAAATTTCATGGCATCGGCCTGAAGAATATAGTAATAACGGATGGTAACGCGGAGGAACCTGTGCAGGCCGCAATCGTTGTGGGCGGCGACGCGTACACGGTGCTTAAGGTGTCACACCTCTATACCACGCACACCGTGTGCGTGCAAATTATAGGGGAATTCGGGAACCTCTACCCCGTCAGCAGTTACTTCCAATTCTCGGAGGGAACCGCTCGAGGTATCGCGGAGCTCGAACAGAAACTAAACAAGCTTAGGGGCGAACGAATTCTCATCGCGGCGGACGTCAATGCGCGGTTCTCTCTATGGTACAATAAACCGCGAAACGCGCCGGAAGGGAGACGGCCTCAACAACGCAGCGCGGAAATCGAAAGCTTCATTATGCTCCTCATCGTCATAGGGCTACTCGTGCTCAACTCGCCCGAGAGACCCGCAACGTACCTGAGTAAGAGCACGTACCAGGCCGAGAGGGACCTCGCCCTCAAAGCTGAAAAAAAGGTAGAATACCACCGTCTCGCTCGAAATTATAAAAACAAGCTGTCGCCGCGGCGCGGAACACGAGCTGGAGAGAGTTCGTCTCAAAGTCCGGGAGCCACGAACCGTGGGGCATCCCTTGCCGGGCCGCGACGAGAAGAATTAGAATCCAGACCGCGATATCAACGGTTAAAACAGGCGCGACAAACACGGTCAAGTTGCGGGAGAATGCCGAAACTCTCCTTCGAGCTCTCATACCGGACGACACCGAGGAAAACGAGACGCCGGAACACGGGGAAATAAGAAGAGAGGCTGCACTCCCGTCCATGGGCGGAACGTCGTCCCCCTTCGGTGAACGCGAGCTAATAAAGGCGACCTTGACCCACGAGAATAGGAAAAGCCCCGGACTTGACGGCATCGAGGACGAAATAGCCAAGCACCACGTCCAGGTCATGCCCACGAATGTGCTCTCGCTGTACAACGCATGCCTGAGAAACGGTAAATTTCCCGATTGGTTGACAGTCGGTTTAGTCTGTGTCATACCGAAGGGCGGTAACAAACCCAAGGGAGAAGGTAAGTCGTACAGGTCAATCTGCTTATTGCCTGTTCTTGGAAAACTCCTCGGAAAACTCGTCGTGGGAACGCTAAGGCCAATCCCAGCGGCGGGCGGAAGGGAGTCGGACAGGCAGTTCGGATTTAACACGTTGACGCCGGCGCGGATATTCGCGGTCCGTTCCGTGCGGCGGCACTTGAACTAGCGGTCCGCCCCATGGGGCAGCGCGGCACCAAATTATACTGTTCAATGCTTGCGCCCTAATACCCACTAGCTGATTCGAATAGACCGAATTTCCAAAATTCTCACGTGGCCCGCGAGTGGTCTGGCCTGCCGATAGGACCCATGGTGGCCAGTCGCATGGATTGGGGAAAAACCCTAATTCGTTTTTTATGGCCATAAGCCCGGTCGACGGGCAAACGATGCATATGGTCAATGTCGTACTAGGAAAAAGAAATAGTCGTGAGTTTGTCGTAAATTATGTTGAGTGCGAGCGGCGATTTCGTCGAACCTACGACTGACGATTTCCAGGCGGCCAGGCACCGAGGCCCCAATAGTATTTGGTTTCCTGGGCCGCTGACAAAAGATATATTGCCGGGTTAAGTGGCCGAGGACTGTCGCGTGGTTTTCCAGAGATCGGTTTGTTTTTCTTTGGAAAATCGCGGGCCTCGGGGTGGGCTTTAGTTGGGCGAACATTGACCCGCCTCTGGATCTTCGGCGGCCCAATTAGAAGTATAGGGCCGCCCACGCATAATGGAGAAAATTTGTGACTTTTTGGGGAACGAATACGCCCCAGTCGACACTTTTTGAATATATAGTGCGTGACCTAGTAATCAGGGACCATTATCGAGCATTTAGACGACGACGTGAGTTTGACTGACAATGAGTTTAGAGTTGACGGCAAGAGAGAAAGAGTACTGTTAGTGTGCAAGTATTCTGTGTGAAGTGCCTATGAGGTGCGAGGTCAGTAGAGTTCTGACATAACGAATTATCTGAGCAGACATTTCTTTCGGTAAGTGTAACGGTAGTAAAAAGTTTCTTTCCTTCTAAAAAGGCGGTTAGCATTTTTCATTTTTAATTTTTGCCCATCTAAATATTAGATACAATGGATATGGAATTCAGTGATTCGTCTGATGAATCCGTATCTGGAATCATGCGAAAGAGACGAAGAAATAGAATACTTTCATCATCACCATCGGACATGGCAACTGATAGAAATACCACGGAGGAAGAAGTTTGGGAGTCTGATGTGGAGGAACAAGATGATGATGCAGAATGGCGAGAAATAGCAGAAAAATCTGCATCAGAGGAAGAGTATTCGGAAGAAGAAGAGCTACTGATCAAAGAGACGAACTGCGATGATCCTGTTGCATTATATAAATTGTTCTTCACGAACGAGATATTGGACATCATCGTTGAAGAGACGAACAGATACGCTGTACAGTGCATAGTGAATGCGGCATATGGCAGGAGATAACATCAACAAGCATGGAACCCCGTTACAAAAAGTGAATTGAATACCTTTATTGGTATTTTGCTTATTATGGGTGTAGTGCAGGTACCTGAAATTCGATTATATTGGTCCGAAAAGGCGATGTATGCGAATGCGCGTATAAAGAAAGAGCCCGATCCATCGGCCAAGATAACCCAGCGAATATTCGGGTCGGGCTTCCCCATCTATCGGCCCGTACTAGCTCGCCGGCCTTCTTTTTATGGACGATGGGGCCGGCCCCCAACCCGCACCCGGATACCCGGGACACGNACCGATGATTAAAAATTTCGTCCACTGCAATTTCGACTCAACAATAGCTCCAAGAGAAATAGTTGCTTATCATACAACATCAGACAACGATGCAATTACATATCGTGTCACAGATGACTTTCAATCTACTCCAGCCGCTATCTCCGAAGACGAAGATGTATTACAACCGATTCGACGTATAACTCGCACGACCCGATCGAAAACGCGTCGTAGCACCACTCCATTATAAACTCATAGAATAAGTTTCAAAATGTAAAGAAATCATGTGTTCAGATTTATTCATTTATTCCTTTTTGTATGTAATTTATCCGTTAATTATAAGATTATGTAAAGGATTGTATGAATATCTATAATCATAGTACCTAAGAAATTTCTCTATTGAATGTTATTCGTTTAAATCTAGTATACTTAGAAATTTTGGTTACATAAGGATTTAATTGTCGAGTAACTCTCCAATCTTAAGGAGGGAGGTGTTGGATGACGCGCCTAAAAGCAACCAATCGTCATCATTATCTATTAGTTTACGCATCTAAAGTCTAAGTATATTCTTAAGAAATACGATCCAAACCAGCTCCTTGCCCTCATTTATCCTTATCCTTGTCCACAATGAGTCTAGGAACTGACCCGAAACCTTCGATCGGATAACATCCCATGATTTTCCCGAATTACCAAGAAAGCAAGATTATCCATGCATTTCCCTAGAATACCGATTATTCCTACCCAAATTTTCCGACCAATCACTAAAGAGAATTCCTTTCCGAACCTACAATCCAACCAATAAGCTTCTAGATTTTTACGTGATCCTACGAGATCGAAAGCATTAAATAAGACTAGAATAGACATCAGAGAGGGTAGAACTAAGAACGAAGCAGAGCAGTCTCCTCCAGAAGCGTCGAACTACCGCCTAAGTTCCTACCGGATTCGAAGTTGTAAAGCAGTCCTGAAATAAAAGTAATTTTATCGCTGCAACACCGGAATCCAACAGCTAGCCGGATCGAGGCTTCCGCGAGGCACTCCCTGGAAGCCGCTTGACCCCGCCCGTTGCCCGCAGGGAACCCCGAGGAGGTCCCTCCCCTACACCCACGTGGTTCGAGCATTCGTGCAAGGCACCAGTTGAGACGTAATGCTACAGCGTAGTTTGACGAGCTTTCCAGGCTAGGTCGGATGGGAGCCCGATCCATCGGCCAAGATAACCCAGCGAATATTCGGGTCGGGCTTCCCCATCTATCGGCCCGTAATAGCTCGCCGGCCTTCTTTTTATGGCCGATGGGGCCGGCCCCCAACCCGCACCCGGATACCCGGGACACGGGACGGGTTACTCAACACACCCCGGCCGTCCGGTCGAGGGGTATTCCCACGACGGGGGCCACCTGTCGCCGGGAACTGTAGGGGGAACGAGAGTGCGATCAAACTCCGCAGAGCGAGCATCTCTCGCGGTTCCCTAGTAGCCATTTGCCGTTTCGTTGCGGACCCATGGACGTCCGCATCCACCTCCACCACGAGGATGTTTACGGATGGCCCTGTCATTTGACATATCAGGAGCATTCGATAACGTATGGTGGCCCAGCATAATAACTGAGTTGAAGCGCCGACAATGTAATAGGGACCTGCACGATTTGCTTCGCCACTACTTCGCGAATCGCATAGTAAAAATCGTGTCGAAACACTGCGAGGTCGTAAAAACGGTCACAAAGGGCTGCCCGCAGGGATCACTGCTGGGACCGAGCCTATGGAACCTCGTGTTCGATGAGCTCGTGCTACGACTCGCGGAAGAGGGCGAGTGCGAGCCGATAGCCTATGCGGATGATACTCCTCGCACTCATACGCAGAAACTTGAGAGTGGAACTCGAGCGGAAAATGCAACGCGTCGTGGATACCGTCACCGGCTGGTGTGAGGCAAAAGCTCTCGCTCTTGGCCGGAAAGGCGGAAATGATCCTCGCAAAGGGCAGTCTCGATCGCGAGAGACCACCGCGAGTAGTAATAGGCGGGAAACCATTCCGGCTTCGATCCGAGATGCGATAACTCGGTGTCCACTTCGGGACGGGGCTATCGTTGTCGGCACACGCGCATATTGTTTACGCCAGAGCCTGCGAGCTTACTGGTGAAATAGCGGGGCTGGCCGAAGCGCGTTGGAGCCTCAAACACGTGGCGCGAACGATAATTTACAAGGGCCTCTTCGCCCCCATCGCGACATATGGCGCCGCTGCGTGGGTCGACCGAATCACGCAGCAGGTCGAGAAAACATTGGGGAGCGCGCAAAGGCTTACCTTATTATCCGACACGAAAGCATATAGGACGATCTCGCGGGACGCGGCGTACGTGATTGCCGAACAGATGCCGATAGATCTAGCGGAAGTCGAGCGAATATATGTTGCAACGCGTTTTCCTTTACCCGGGGCGCGCTGGCAAATGAGGGGAAGGATCGGGGTTCGCAGGTGGGTCGCCTCTCCGCGAGATCGGTCGGAGGGAGTTCGCTCGACAGCCGCAAGGCCGTTTTTTACTTGTAATGGGGCGCCAGGCGCGAGAAGCGCGCCGCGGCCCGCGGATTCCCGGCAAGGGCAAGGCCGACGTCGCGGGGCGAGAAACGGCCCCGATCACCGGCTGCTCAGCCCCGTGGAAGTCCTTACGACTTTCCACGGCACGGTAGGCGCGGGAGGTCCGAGGTCCCTATAACGTGAAGGGTACTGGGAGGACAGACCATAAAAAGAAAGGACAGGATAACCAAATATTTAGTGAGACGGCACGGTAGTTCTGTATTCACGATCATAATTCGGAAACACTATGTACGGTACGCAAGACATCGGACTTCTGGGGATCCCGCCGGCACGCTACTTTAAGACGGGAACCTCATGGTTCGAGTAACCAACAATAAAAATAGTGTTGCTAGGATTTATTATACCACAAAAGTTGGTTATGAATTATGGCATCAGCATTTGGGCCATATGGGTAAGAATAAATCTGTAGAATTACAGAAAAACGAAATGGTAAAAGATTTAGATCAAATTGAAAAATTAGTACCAAATTATAAATTATGTGAGGCATGCATAAACGGTAAACAATCGAGATTACCTTTTCATAAGGAAAAAAATAAAAGAAATGTGAAGCGAACATTGTTCATAGTACATTCATATGTTTGTGGGCCTATCATACCTCCTACGGTTCATAATAAAAATTATTTTGTTTTGTTTGCCGATCAATACACTCATTATCGTGTCACATATTCAATTACTTGCAAATCGCAGGTCTTCGCAGTTTTTCAAGATTTTGTCCCGAAAAGCGAGGTGCGATTCAATTTATACATTGTTAACTTATATAGCGATAATGGCAGAGAGTACCTGTCAAATGAAATGAAGAACTATTGTCAACAGAACGGTATAAGTTATCATTTAACAGTTCCACGAACTCCTCAGTTAAATGGTGTGGCTGAAAGAATTGTAAGAACTATTGTCGAGAGAGGTCGAACAATGCTAACTGGTGCTTGTTTGGATAATACCTTTTGGGGTGAGGCAGTTTTAACTGTCACATACTTAATAAAAATAACACCAACTAAAGCATTGACACAAGCGAAAACACCATACGAATTATGGCACGATAAAAGGCCCGAAGTAAAATACTTGAAGGTATTTGGTTCGACTGCTTATGTTCATAATTAAACCAGTAAAACGAAATTTGAAAAACAATCTTGGAAAGGAATATTGGTAGGGTATGAACCTAACGGGTACAAAGTTTGGAACGCGGACACTGAGAAATTTGTTACTGTCAGAGATGTCATTTTTCACGAGATAAATTTCATGAAAACGGCCTAAAACAAAATCCGGTGAGAGTAGAGTAGAAACCTCACGCGTTGAAACTGATGTTACTGACCGTGAGTCGAAATCAGTAATGTTAAATGAAATTGATGAATGTAAATCAGGAAATAACAATGTATTGAATTCTGATAATGAAATTAGGGCAACTAAAGTTGCAAAATTAAATGACAATGAAATGATGTATGACGTAGAATGTTCTGGTTCTTTTTTCATGAAAAACGATTAAGTTATACATTAGCAAACCCTAGAAGGAGTGAAAGGCTTAAGAATCGTCCAGTGATCTCTTACAATGAGGATGATATTCCAAATGATTGTATTTTATCTGCACAATCAGTAGTATGTGAAATTCCAACGTCGTATGAAGACGTTAAGAAAAGTTTAGATGAAGTTAAATGGGAAAAAGCAATGAAAAATGAGATTAATTCTCTTCAATAAATAAAACGTGTAACGATGGAACTCGAGGACGCGAGTTAGGTGGTAACCTCGCGCGCCGCGGTCCACGTTCGGGTCTCTTCCCGCGACAGTGGCCCGCTCGGAGCGTTTGAGTGTCCGAGGGGTAATGCCTGGGTGGAGTAAAGTACGCTCAGGTTTAATAACGATAATTGTTTATTTAACTTAACATCGGTTGCCGGTCGGCATCAGTAGCTTCGTGTCTGAAAGCAAAACATTGGAAATAGACCGGATACAAACGAGGTCGTAATTAAAGGTAATGGAATACAACGTGAATTAATATATTTGCAAGTCAAGGTTCTAACTCTATTGTTCGAACTCCCGGGGTCGGAGAGATGACACGATATAAATTCGGCTCGTGTCGTCTCTTGTCGGTATTAACCCTTTCATTACGG